GAAAACAAAGGGCTAGATACTGCCACAGCTAATTAACAATCCTAACATCTTAAAAAAATAATCAAAGTAGTAAATATTTGAAGATCTCAATGCAAGTCTCTGCAGTGCAAGGTCTCAATGTATGTCCAAAGCTGCTGGAAAGGGACAATGCAGTTTTTCGGCACAGTGAGACACCATGAAGAGCTCCTGTTCTTGTGGAAAACACATTAAGCTTCTTTTGCTAATATTTTGTAAAGGGCACTTGTACAATAACAATAGCTAAAGCTTCCTGTTTGCCTGTGTGCTTCCTGGCTAAGGTTAACGAGACCTGCTAACAATTTTCTTCTTTAGCACACAGAACTCTTTCAGGTTACTCTGCAGACTCAAGGACATACCGTTTTTAAATTTAAAAAAAAAAATCTAACATTAATGGCCCCCATTGCACCTGCCCTTCACAGTCCTGATAACTTTTCCAGCTAAACATTTCCTATTTTCTGGATCAGCCTATGTGTCACCAGTCTCCAAAGAACATGTTTTGAATTTATTAAAAGCCCCATAGCAGTAGAATTCTCTCATTTGGCAAAGATACCATGACAGGGACACTTGCTTTTGGCTTCATGACAAGAAATCCATGGTACTTTGTTTGTCCAATCCACAAAAACACCATCCCTCTCCTCCCTTCCCCTCCCCTTCAAGATAATTCTCCCTTCTCCAGAGACTTCTCCAAACAAGTCTGCAAATCTGAAGCTTTGGGTTTCATTTCATAAACAGGACACAACCCCCGAGTGCAGCTCAGGATACTGTCACTGCCACATGGGCTCAGCACTAATCACAACAGCCTTCTGAAATATTCCCTCGGCCCTTTCTTTCCACTCAGAGGCCTGATTTTTAAACCAGCCATCTTTTGAAGTAGGCACAAAATATAAACAAGAAGCCAAACTCCAGGACCCAGCCAAAGGGTATACATTAGTCATGGCAAGGCTGGGAAGGAAGGGAAGGGCAGCTGGCCCCAAAAAACTGGTGTCTGCACTGCTGCAGTTACCACGTCCCACTGCAGGATTGCCCAATCCTTTAAAATGACACAGACATCCTTCAGATAACCATTTAACTCACACCAGTTTGTTTTTAAAACTGCACCTCGAAACATAAGCTCCTCTTCCAAAGTCTCTCCCTTTTCAGAGTTTCCAGCCTATCTGGATAAAATATTTGGTGAGGACTCCACTGACACAGCAATTTCACCTCACAGCAGTAAAAGCAGGAAACCTCCTAAGAGTGTGTGAATATCAATTTAACAGCTGAAGAGCAAATACAGGGATGAACCAGAATGAAATCCCCAAATGTGTTCAACTGCCCAAACACCTCTGAAGATGCAGATTTAACTCACTCCTCCAATCACACAGGGGATATAACAGAGCAGAGACCTGAATCCAGATTCTTGGATTCAAGAGCACCTTCCCAGCTTAATGTTTCACTAAAAACTTCCATGGCTGCAATTCAGCAAGGGACCAGTGTCTACTATCGATCCCAGCAGACTCTGCATCAAGCCCAGGAATATCCAAGGAGTCCTCTGGATTTCCATCAGTGCAACAGAGCCATCTCAAGCCCTAATGATAAGCAACTGGAAATGGGTGACAAATAAACTTTAGGGACTCAATCACTGTTTAACATAAAGAGTCAGCTCTTTAAATGTGCTCAAGCCAAGGACCTCATAAACAAAAGAAAACAATTAGTCAAGGGATCTTCCTGTTGAAAATACACTGTATATTAAAAAGATATCACCCCCTCTCACAGAGATATAGACTAACATTGGTTATGTGGTTCCCAGAAATGCTTTTAATCAACTACAACCATTTCTCCTTCACTTTGCAGTCTGTAATTACCATAACAGCATGAATTTCTTTCTTATAAAACTGATTTTCTCTGGAGAAACTCACGATCCTGAGATCTGTTGGAAGGAGATCATTTAGAAAAGTTCCTCCAAAGTATAAGAAACATCTGTTCCACCCTTTTCCCTGTCATGATGGTAAGCAGCTGAAGACTGACTGGACAATTATTTCCACAGGAAAATTATTTGCATCAACATCCCTGTAAGAGATGAGGTCTCTCCTAGGTAATACATTACTTTCCCCTAGATATTAACATATCTAGAGGATAAGAATATGGAAACAAAATTCTGCACAAATACTCAGTTTGTTCCAACTAATTTTGGGAGGTGGCTTGCAGCACAATGTTGGATACTCTCTATCTCAGTAATGTCAGCCTGACATTTTTCCCTATGTTTCCAAACTCTCCTTCACAGGTTTAATCTCTCATTAGTTACAGTTCATCTTAAATGCAGGAGAGACCCACTCATTTTCCAGTGAGTTGCTCATGACTGGAAGTGGCCCTGAAGCAGAATGCTGGGTCTAAATACACTTGACCTTTGAGAAATTTGTGTGTGAATTCCACCCAGTTGAACAGCTCAGCCATATCCTTATCTGCAGCAGAATCCCTCAAGAGACCTCAGAAACACACTGAAATTACAGATGTGCATCTCTGGTAAGAATTCTCCATCCATCACACAGTAGCCTGTAACTAAACCAGATAAGTGTTTAGGTTTTATTAAGATAGCTGTACCCAAAACACCATATAAAGGAAAAGTTCTCAGAGGTTGTAGATGGTGGGAAGGGGAGCAGTGAGTCACACTCACCACAAGTCGAAGTGCTGAGCCTCTGCAAAGCCCTTCACACGTGTCTGTGACAGCACAGCCCTTCCTCTCCACCACAGCATTTCTGAGACAACACAGCCAAGTATTCAAGTGGCAAAACCAACACTTCATTGTTGCAACCTTGGGGGGCAGAAGCTGGGAAGTTCCAAAGTTTTAAATTTGTTAACTAAAGAGCTGTCAGTAACATTTTCAATGCAGAATAGTCAGGATCATTCAGAAAACCCCAATGGTCTTTCATCAAGGAGAAACAATAAAAAAGAACTACTTTAAATATGAAATATTACAGGCAACAGTCTTCCAAGAACAATGGGAATCAACAACTTGGAACTTGTCCTTTGCAAGTGATGGGTGGGTGTTGTTCAGTGAGACACAGAGCAATTTCAAAGCCAGTAGGTAAAAAATCTCAGAATACATCTGAATCTCCAGCTTGGAGGTAAGAAGCCTTTACTGTTTATTATAGTTCCACTGGAAAAAACCTTGGCAACAAGGCAGTTCAAGCCAGCAGAATTAAAGGGGAAAGAGAAAGGATTTCATACTCAGAAACACACATCAAGAACTGCTTTTCAAACACGTCCCATTCTCATCTCACACACAACGTTCTGCTCTGAGTGACCTCACCCTGACTTTTTGAAGGCAAAAAGACTATACACAGTTTTCAAATGTCAAACACACACAAAATGCTTCAGAGAGCCCCTTAAAATTTTAAAGAAGCAAGGTCTTTCCCATAAAAGTGCCTTTGGAATTGCATTTATTTTGGTAAAATCCCCATCACCAAAACAAATTTTTAAAAAAATAAATCTGTCTTTTATCAGGGCCAAGTTCTGTATGATTCAGAGTGAGTAACACTGTGTCTTGCCCTGTGAATAGGCTCCTTTGTGCTCAAAGGGAGAAAAGGTGGGAAGAATCTTATACTTGATAAATTCACAATTCCCTTGTATTATGAGCATATGCAGGGCACGTTACTTTACTTCACCAAACTACAAGGAAATTCCCCAAAAACAGGCGTGCATGGGGGAAAGCAGAGGAAGGGGAAAAAAATTAGGTTTGATTCCAGCAAAACATTTCTTGTCCTTATTTTCCTGTATTTTTCTTCCAGCTTTGCTACCCTGTAAGACATTCCACTAGAGCCAAAACAATGGGCTTAGTTTTAATGTTAATGGGCTTAACCTTAAGGCAGCAAAGGAGGCCCTACAAGGAACTATTTTATCCAAAATAGAAAACTCTCAACCAAAGGTGGGAGAGGACTCGGTCCAGAAAGTCTTTTCACAGCATTCATCAACACAATCAAAATGTTTTTGAATAATCAAATTGTCATTGCTAGGGAAATTAACTTGCCAGTCTAAATACAGGCATCTCTACTTTTGAGTATCACCTTCTGCAACAGTTTCTGGTTTTAGGAGAGGTTCTCTGCTTCACCTCCAGGAAGTTGCAGCCAAGAGCACAAAGCCAAAGCCAGGCAGGACCAAGGAGCCATCAGTACCCCTGTACCCTCACTTTTCAGACCATTCTCCCTCTAAGCCCTGACTAAAGGGTCCTAATTCTAAATCCAAGTCTAAATCCAACTTCCATGAGTTGCAGACCCTGCATGGAATATCATCTGGGAGTTGGGCCAGGTGACAGGACCGCTTAGATTGCAAGATCTGTGGGGTGGGAGTTGTTCTTCTGCTACATAATTCATAATTATACAGCCAAATCCCACTGAAAACCCAAAGGAAGAAGAACTGAGATACTATTTATCAATTACCATCCAGCAACTCCGTTTTTCTTTCAAGTCAAGTCACCAGCACAGCTGACTTGAATGCAGATCTTTCAGAGGGGTCTCTCAGAGGATTTTGTTAAACTGCTCAGGAGGTATCCCAGGATGCTTTGGAGGAGCAATACAGCTGCTGTGTTTTACAGTCAAGTGACCACTGTAAACAAGATTTTAACAGATCCTTCCCACATGGCAAAGAAGTGTTTCCTTTCCATTCCCAAAAAAAGTCAATAAATTTGTAAAAAAACCCCAGATTTCAAAGAATTATTAAAAATGTATTTCACAGGAACTAGAGCAATCACATTTCTGTTCCAAAATGGATCACAAGACCAATTAACTGACATTTGTAGCAACAAACTGTATCTGTGAACTACACTGCTCCCAGGAACAACTGTGCTCAGGAATGCACATGGAAGCAGGAGATAGGTTCAAGATGTTTTGGGGTAGACTCAATTACAGACAGATGTACATAACAGCATGTCCAGTCACAATGAATTAAAGCAGAACATCCAGAAGAAAACAGATGAGGATGACCAAATCATACTGTTATAATTAACATACCTTGCAGTGACACCTGTGGCTTTCCAAGATAAGAAATCCGGAAGATCAAAGAAGCAGCCTGCCTTCTCCCAGGATTCCTGCAAGTTCTAATAAAAACATGTTTAGAAATGCAGATATTAGAGGTCAGGCATGATCATGTCCTTATTTTAATGCAATTAAAAAACCCTGATATTTAGGTAAAAAGGACAATTTTTTCAAAGCAACTACTCTGATCATCCTGTCTGCTCTACTCTCTGATTTACTGCCCAGAGGACTGAGCCTTTGCTCCACCACAGGCTGATCTTAAGCAAAGTTTCCCATGAAAAGTTCATGGAGGGACCAGTTTCAGATCAATAACGTGAGCTCTCAGTTCCCCATCAGCTGCTCAGTGTCAGAGCAGCCTCAAAGTCCACACACAATTTTCTCAAAAACCATTTGCTTGAAGGAATTTACCACTTTAAATTTCATATTTGTTAACTGTAAGCTCAGGAAGGAGACAAACAGCTCTCTGAGAATGAGAACAAAGCTCTCGGATCACGGCTTTTGGAAAAGCCACTTGACGTTTCCAAACTCCTGAAAAACTCTTCTACCAAGACAGATCATCTACAGGGAGTTTCCACTGCTCCACTCTGCAGACAGATGGTGGTCCAGAAAGCAAGAATTCAATGGCCACTTCTGACCTTGGTACACTCAAATCAGTAAAGAATATCACAACCAAACAGAAGTCAGTGCTGCTGACCACAAGGGTTACAATCAGACTTGCACAGGAAGATAATATTGCTTTAAACCCGCCCACCAACTTTTTAAATCATTGAAAAGGTGCAAAGTTTTATCACTTATTAAGAGCAGCTGCTATATTAGAAACACAAGTCCTACCTGGGCTCTTTCTAGAGCAAGATTTAATTCCACGCAATGTCAAGAAGGCACATGCTAAATTAAAAGAAAACATAATTCCATTTTAAGAAAGAATATGTGGCTCTAGAAATTCTGCCCTGTAGGATGGTGAGGCCCTGGCACAGGTTGCCCAGAGAAGCTGTGGCTGCCCCATCCCTGGAAGTGTTCAAGGCCAGGTTGGACGGGGCTTGGAGCAACCTGGGCTAGTGGAAGGTGTCCCTGCCCATGGCAGGGGGTTGGAACTGGATGTTAAGATCCCTCCCAAGCCAAACCATTCTGTGATTCCATGACTCTGTAACTTAATTCAAACACTATGTGATATCAACCCAAAATATTACAAGTCCAGAAAATTGCTGAAAAGGAATCAATGAATTCCAGAAACTAAGGTGCAAGGGTAAGTATAAAAAAAGCAAAATTTTCTTTAATTTTGGATCATGCAAAGAATCTGTCTTAACTTTCTGTTTAGTTCTCCAAAAGCTTCTAAAACTTACTGGATTTCTACTAAGTTCAAAAACTAAATGCTTCAATTACAACTTTTTAACATAAAATGCACAACCTTTGGATATTTGTTCCTGACCATTTAGGTTTAGCTCATGTGGCTGTTACACACATCAAATTTAATATCACAAGTGAATGCAAAGGAGCTCCACAGTTTAGTCCAAAGGTCATTCAGCCCGATTATTTTGATAATGAAAGCCATTATGTGCTGTTAAAACACCTGACAGCCTTAATGAAGCAACAGTAGTTTGTCTATTACTATTAATAAGAAAGGAAGCTGGATTAAGAACAACTGTCCTCTTCAAACAATTCTGCTTCACCAAAGATACTCCTTGGATCCTGATTCTATTTCTTCAAGAATTCCCAAAAGCCACATGTTAGTGACACTCAAAGTATGTCGTTTCATGAACATCCAAATGATTCATTTTTTGCCATCTTGGTGCTGTGTCATCACTAATTAGTACAGACAAAAATCAGGGCACTTTTTCCCAACAAATTTAAAGTCTCCACGTTTCAGTGAAGTTAATTCAGATTATTTTCACCCCCAGTCAGGAGTCTGTGACCACATTAAAAGGACTGTGGAGAGGAGCCGGGAATGTTCCCAATGCCGTGTTCACATCCTGCGACTCACCCTCCAAACTCACTCGGAGGAACTCACACGGTCTTGCTGCTTTCCAGGGGCACTTCTGGACTCCCTTTCCTTCAGCTCTCTCTTTTGGGTTGTTTTACAACCATACCTCCACAGAACAATTTTTTGAGACTGTTGTAAATAATCCCAAATGCTTGGGGACAAAGAACTTAAGAATTATGTAGTGCAATGCCTTTAAAATTCCTAGACAAGGAATGTCCAGGATAATGAGGGACTTTGTAATTGGACTGAAAATACACACAAAGGCAGAATTTCACAGGAGCTCCAGCACCCAAAGGAATTTTTTGGAGACACCTAGAGCCACATTCTCCTGGAAAAGCTGAAGGTGTTTTCACATTCAGATTTTACTCAGGTTTGCTGAAATAGCCTCTTTCTGTACAGGAAACCTTTGATTTCTGCTCTTACTGAGTGCATAGTTATCTTGTGAGATGAAGTGATCTTCACTTATCTAATGTTTGTTAAAACACACTTTTTTCCACCAAAAGAAAATGCATATATAAACATTAAAGATGTTCTAACTTTTGTTATTGTTAAGAGATTAAATATTAATTAACTTTTCTTAAATGACACTATAGACAGCCTTCATAAAAGATCCCTGTTGGCCAGTAGATTAATTAAATTTAGGCTAGAAGCAACATCTGATTTAACACAGTGTATCAGTCTGAATTTCATGGCTACTTATCAGCCAAAGCCCAGAAATTCAAAAATCATCCCAAAATGGTGTGTCAGAAATCCAGGTTAAAACCAGGAGGGACAGATGGAAGCAGAAAAATGTTTCACCATTTAGGGCAAAAAACGACAGCTGATGTGAGCATTCAAGTTCCATGTCAGATCAAACTCTAAGTTATCTGAAAAACAGAAAGAATCCTGAAAATCATTGAAGAACCATCTGCTTTTCCCATTTCATCCCCAGACTTGAATCTCCATCTCCCAGGCAATCTGTAGCAGAGGGCTATGAAGTCCATCAATGTGTCTTTTTCTAAATTACCAAAACCAAACAGACATTGTGTGAAGGGAGGAAAGAGAACAACCCAAAGCTTAAAGCCCACACTCCTGGGGACGTGAGGAACCGATGTCCCATGTCCTGCTCCAACACAGACAGAGCAAGGACTTACAACCTGCATCTCCCACATTTCACATGGGATGCCAAATCATGGGATAGAGCTATTCTAAGAGAGGCCCTGAGCAGAAATTCTGCCCTTGCCAGAGCCAAGGCTGCAAATGGTTCAATTTTGCAACCATCAGTTGCCCTCTAAGTGGTAAAAAATTAACTGACTGAATGATCAGATTCAGGAAGTGGGATGGGGGGAGAGGAGGGGCTGGGAATGTAAACTCTTAGAGGAAGACCACCAAGGCAAGATGTGTCAGAGCCATGTGCTGGTATCTCAGATCCCAGAGGCATCCTGAGCATGGCTTGTGCACATGTGTCTGCACTGTGGATGGATTTTGATAACACAGAGTGCTGAAACATTTATAAACAATTCTAAACAAGAGTTCAGCTCCAAACTCATCAGCCTGGACTCATTCTCACTTAGCACAGAATTTATTGTTTATTTAACGGAGAAACATTCACTCACATTCAACATGCCAAAAAGCCAGCACAAAGGCAGCAAGCAAGGAAGAAGAAATGCAGTAAAGGAGCTGCTGCCAAGCTGATGCCAGTCCATCCACTGTCCTTCCCTCCACAGCCAGGGAAAGAAATACCTTAACTGTTCCTGCAAATTATCCCATTGGTAGCTGCAAGTCCCAGGTGGGCAAAGAGAAGAAGAATGGTGGATCAAACAGCAGCTCTAGCTGAGGATGTGAACTGTAACACACAGAACCATCACTGACCACTGGGCCAGATAAAAAAATACTCACAGCCTATCGATTTTAATTAATAATTGCAGAGGAATAATATATAGACACTCATTCTGTGTGGGGTTTTTTGGGTTTTTTTTGTTTGTTTGTTTTGCTAAAGGGAGTGTTTTCTGTGCTCTTCAACACTACATTAAGAACAGAGTTGAGCAAGTAGAGCACAGGAAAACTGCATTTCATTTGGAGACAGTTACCAAGCAAATACCTACTCCCAGTCCAGCATCCCCCACCCTCTCAGAATAAACTACAGCATCTCTGATTTCATGGGACTAGTATTTTTTAGAAATAGCTGGTTTGTAATGTCATTACTGTGAGGGAAACATAACATGCATCCTTTCAGTTTGGCACAAGCTACAATAAAATTTCCAGCCAGAAATAAGTAAACAAGACTTTTTTTTTCTACTATCTCTGGGAAAAAAAAATACTAACAGGCTAATTCTGGAGCTGCAAAACCCTGCCCTGCAGTGTTTGCACTGCTCTGTCTGAGCTGTGCTCTCACTGCTCCAATGCTGGTTTGCCACAGCACAGACACCTGTACAATCACGATGTACAAACACCTGCAGCAAATAATTCCCAAGGGAAGGAGTTGCACCTGTATTTTCAGCTCAGATGCAGGCATCTACCTCCCAGAACCATCTACACACTCTGAATGTGTGTGAACAACACATTTCTTTAGCCAAAGTTTACAAAAGAGAAGAAATTGCTGCAAAAAATGTACCTGCAACTACAGAAGAATTCTTGCAATTGTGTTGTGCAAGATCATTCTAGACCACAAAGAAATCTAAGGAAATAACAGCAAGAGGAGTGAATTTAATTGGCTATTTTGAAAGACTTATTTTGAAAGACCCCTTTCCTTTCAGTGAAGCAGACATTCAGACTTACCTTACTGACTTCAGCAAGACTTTGTCAGAATTATGTGCCAGCTAGCTTCTAAAGGATATTTGTCCTGGATAATGATTCTTTATTTCAACTTTATCTACACTTGATGTTTTTAGTTTGGCTGACCACATTCAAAAGTCAAATGTGGCTGCATCCACACAAATCAGCTTTTTGGGGAAAAAAAAAATCACATCTTTCTTTTGTTTTACATTACAGATTTAACACTGGACTCTCTTTCTCACCACACGTGGTCCACAGAAGCAGAAAAATGCTCCTCCTAAGTGGGCCACAGATGTGCCCATCTCACCCAGACTGCCCCACAGGCTACAC